GGGGTCGATGGCCTTAGAAGTGCCTCAGGGTCTAACGGACTGCAGACAGTGATAACTTGTTAGCATACATGTTAATTTTTTTTTTCTGAACACAATCATATTGAGTGTGGGAGACTGAAAGAAAGCAATAGTCATAGCTATGTTCTTGAGAGGATGAAGACAGGGACACCAGTCTGGTGGTGGTGAAGGCGCAGTTTTTTTTTGTGTGTTGGTAAGCATTTTACAGCGCTCACAACTAGTAACTGCATAAGAAGGTCATATGAGCGCGCCGGGCCACATTAAACATTTTCAATTGGTTGGAAATTTTGAATTTTTCCCGGGTGGCGGCCGAAACCTACTCTTACTCTTATCGACTTTAGACGACCAAGAGATCTTTAATGTGCACAACTTGCACACACTACCTCCGAGATTTTTGGCCTTATCCGAGAAGGCTAGGTGTAGATCTTTCCTACCAGAAGATCAGAGGTTTGGCTGAGAGACAGCAGCAAGGAGCCAAGGAGTAGCAGTAGAAAGGCTGCAGAAAGAGACAGGAGTCCACAGCAGGTGAGGGGGTAGGGACAGAAAGTGGAGACGAAAGCAGACGACATAATATTGCTAGAGAGCAGGAAAGGAGATGTAAGTAGACAATTTTAGAGGGGTTTTTTTGAAAAAAAATTTCAGTTGTTTTATGATTTGTGTTGTTGCTTTTGGTAATGATGAAGGTGCTGTTGTTTTTGGCATTTAATTGGTGGAGATGAAAATGCTTTTTTGTTGTTGATGATTCTGATTTTTGTTCTTTTTCAGCCAAGTTGACAGAGGTTGGCTATGGCATCAAGAAGTTGACCATTATGTGTGTAGTGGAGGATGATAAAGTCGGCATTGACGATCTGTCTGAGAAAATCACAGACGAGAACGAGGATCTGGTAAGCTGCACTTTTGTGTTTTTCCCTTTGGAAGTGTAGTAGTTAAGGTGATGGGTTATTGAATGATCGGGGGGGAGAGAGAATGGTGAAAGATAAAGGTGTACCAGCGTGTGTGGTTTAGCTGGTTTTTTTGCACTTTGATGTGGCACACAGATGTGCGTCTGATTCCTGTGTGAGACGGTTGTTCTTTTGTTGAGGGTCTCTGTCTGTCTATCTATTTGGACATTGTATTCCTCTATGTAAAGCTTGGTTGTAGCGGGTGGGATCAAAACATCCCGCCTAGTAAATGATTAGAACTGTGTTGATTGGAGTGAGGAAATGAGCTAGAGGGTTAGGACTGTTGTGAAGTTGGTCGTCGATGTTGGGCACAAGTTCCTGTTCCTGTCTTTTCATTGTTTGAAGTAGGTTTTTAAGACGAACCAATTAAACCCTTCATGCCTCATGATGTATCTGGGTTAATCACGAAAATGCGTAATTTTTAGTTTTGTGCTGTACCGTTAGGGTCACGGCAGTTGGCAAAATTTGCCTTTCCTTGTTGATTATAAGACATTACATGCATGTTCCGCAAATCGTCTGGCTCTAATTTTTCTGAACAGAGATTTAGCCATAAGGACAGTGGGACTTTGTATTTGAATAAAAAATGTGCGAATCGGTACCAAATTTGCAAGTACAGTCAAATCTGCCCTGACGGCCACTCTATAAGACGGCCACCTGTACAAACGGCCACTTTCCATTTCCCCCCTTGCGTTTTTTCTATATAATTTAACTGTATAAAATGGGCACCTGTCCAACGCGGCCACGGCCACCATATTTTAACACACAACCCCTATCACACTAAGCAATAACACTTGTCTTAGACGGCCACCTTAGTGACTCCATTCCTCTTTTTTTTCCATAAATTGTGCATTGGCCCCTGGCGTTGTGGGCGAGCCGTCATAATCCAATCACCTGTCGTTGTTGTTAGGTAGTCCCTCCAACCAATCATGTTGCATAGGCCCCTCCCTCGGTTGACCAATAACTACCAATTTTCAGCTGCTGGTGAGGTAAGCGTGTGATCCCTCATAACCCATAAGCCCCGCCCAGAACTCGTACACAAATCGTAAGTGAGATGAGTGGCCACTGTTTACCCAGTCTGTAACAAAGTAACAAAGGACGTCAACATGAACTTGTGACAGAAACGTCGCTCGTTCTCTGAGTGGTGGCGACCCATGTGTTTTAAACATGGCACTCGGTCTTCATCGTCTGATACATTTCATTTTATTGTCACCCTTGTGCAAAATCAACAATCAAAATAAAATTACAAACAAAATACAAACCACCACCACCAACAACAACAACAACAAAAACAACAACAATGCAGCTACTTTTGATTGGGACCTCGTATGGAAAATGTTTGTTTTCTTCATCTTGATCAGTCCTGCCTAAGACGGCCACCTGTCTTATACGGCCACTTTTCTCCTTGACAATGAGTGGCCGTCTTACACAGGTTTGACTGTATTACTAGTAGTAGTTTACTGCTAGGCTTGCATGTGATTGCAGACAATCATGCTCTCTGGCAAAACATTTACTCCAAAATGAAAGGAAAGTTATGCTGATCGTGTTAGCTTAACAGGATTTCCTTCATATTCAGTATTTAGATAGCGCTACTAGAAAATCCCCATAAGCCTAGTTGCTGTTTATGAAAGTGAAATTAGCAGATGAGTTTGGCACACAGTAAGCTGTGCTTGGCAGGCAAGTAAGACAGGATTGAGGGAAAGATGTACACGGCAGCAGGGTCTCCACTGTGTATTGAGAGGTATCAGTGTGTTTGTCTGGCTACGACTACGCTGCCGTAAGCTGTCCAAACGCCTTTTAAAAAATTTAAAGCAGTTTCGAGAAAAAGGTTTTTTGTCAGTGTAACCCATTGAAAAATAGAATCTAGAGTGCTTCCGAAATATAGTATAAATTCTATTCCTTTCAAAAACTAGTCACTGTTTCACTTTCATTTTTTCACACAAGGAGGGTAACTGATATGATGAGGCTTTCGATTTAGCAAATAAAAATGATTGGTGTCAAAATGAAAAAAAAAAGGTGTTTTATCAGCTTTCGACAGAATGGTCATCCTTAGTGTTGGCCACTCCACACATATCTGTTTGTTTTATGGCTTGCTCTGTTATTCTTACTACTGTCTACCGGCATCAGTTGTGTCGCAATCAGGTGCTTCATCGCATGCAAAGGCGTTGACTCGATTCCTGAGTGTGGACTATTTTTTAACTGAGTAGGCTTATATCTGTCTTATGAGACAGTGCATCCCTCTCGGCCCAGCTTAGCCCCCAAAAAGTGGAACCAGTCCTCTGTAATGCAAATTGTCTCCATGCCGGCGTAAAATATTTGAAATTTACACTTGTGATTCAAAATAATATTTTTTTTCTTTCAGGTCCAAAGCGTGGATGTAGCAGCCTTCAACAAGATCTAGGCCTTCCTCTTCAACTTCGTCCACTCGTTGACTTAGCAAATAAAACATCTAATTTATATACTCAAAAACTCTTGTTGTTCGTTGACATGGTGTGTGGGTGGTTGGCAGGTGCTCTGGTGTGGTTTGCTTCTTCTTTCCTATCAAAGATCTATCGTCCTTATCTCCCCTTCTTCTTTTTTATGTTTGTTACTCTCATGTAACACCTTTAATCTTCTGGCGCTCATATGACCTTATGCAGTTGCGAGTGCCGTAAAACCTCTACTAAAACTAAAATTGACATGGTGTTGCTGTAAAGCTGACCAAGTGGTAGAGCTCTGCCCATTCAAAAACTTTACTAAATAATATATTTATGATTTTTTCGCTTTTCACAGTTTTTTTTCAGCTTTGAAGAGCTGTTTGAATGCCTTTGAATTTTTACCGATTTTTGTCTCAATTTTCTGTAATCACAGTTGTTCAATTTTCTGTAATCACAGTTGTTCAATTTTCTGTAATCACAGTTGTTCAATTTTCTGTAATCACAGTTGTTCAATTTTCTGTAATCACAGTTGTTCAATTTTCTGTAATCACAGTTGTTCAATTTTCTGTAATCACAGTTGTTCAATTTTCTGTAATCACAGTTGTTCAATTTTCTGTAATCACAGTTGTTCAATTTTCTGTAATCACAGTTGTTCAATTTTCTGTAATCACAGTTGTTCAATTTTCTGTAATCACAGTTGTTCAATTTTCAGAATTCTTGATATTGAGTTTGAGGAGAATGTAGCAGGAACTTTAGGAAAAAAATTGCTTTCAGCTGCCACGTTTGTGAGATCTGTCAGCATGTGGGTGGGTGCAGTGGGGAGGTGGTAGAGACCGGTGAAAAGGGTAAATAATGCCACCAGCTGTGGGTGATGAGGCGGCAAACACACACATATATATAGGTCTATATATATATATACAACGGAGGATCGCAATCTTGGGGGAAATAATACTGGATGACTAGCCCTGTGACTATGAATAGTGAATAAATTGAGTGCCGAATGTTGCTGATTGACTTATACCGGTACAGTCAAACTTTCTTAAAATTGCCTCCCACCTCCTCTTCGCCTTAGTACAGTAACCCTGTAACCCACACTATGTCAAAAAACACAGATTTTTCCTCTCTTTTTTTTACTACGTGTAAATGTAACGTAGATTTTGTGTCAAATTTTTAGACATGTAACTAAATTAACATCGCCAGTGCAACATTCAGACTTTACTTTTTAACTAACATTGTTAGAGCAATTGGCAAAGTTGTTTCCTTTCCCTGTAAAATTTTGTTTTTGTTGAATACGGAGTTGTACTTGGGCGACGCCCTGTTGTGCCGCCAGATTTTGCCAATGTACAAAAAGGAACGCCTCTATCGAACATTGTTCATGTATTGCCCCCCCTTACACTGCCATCCGCCAGCTGTCTGAGTTGTACAGCCTGTAATAAGCTAAAGTAAATTTGCCCCGATATACTGCCAGCAAACTGGCTGCCAGTGCCAGAGGTAGACACTATGCTTAGTGTACAGCACCCACCCATAGCTGTAAAGAGATAGTAGAGGGAGAGAGAGAAGATTCTCAGCTCTAAATAATACACGTATGTGTACATGTGTGTGCGTAAATCACCAAAAAAGGCACTTTTCAACCTCAGAGTACACAGCAAAATCATTTCCCTTGACGTTAGTTGCGGCTATTCAACAGAACCTCTTTGCGGGTGGTTGGCGGGTGCTCTGGTGTGGTCTGCTTCTTCTTTCCTATCAAACATCTATCCTCCTTATCTCCACTTCTTCTTTTTTTTGCTACTCTCTTGTAACACGTCTAATCTTCTGGCGCTCATTTGACCTTATGCAGTTGCGAGCGCCGTAAAACCTCTACTAAAACAGACAAGAACCTCTTTTAAACTCCCAGTAAACTTTTCTACCAACTTCATACTCTTCCTAAGGCTGTTGGTATATCGGCGTTTGGTTGTACATGTACCTAATTAAGAAAAAAACGTCATTCCAGTGTTCCCACTCACCCCAGAAAATGGCGGGAAAGCCAGGGCTTTCATTTTTCATATGTATATCCAGATTTTACATGTAAATTGATGAAAACAAATACAACCGGAAGAAAGCTTGGAAGTCAATGAGCTGCGCACTACTTTAACGAAACTGATGAAACCATTACGATTTGTCTTTTTTTTTTTCAATTTTAGGAAAATGCAATCTTGACACCTCCGATTCCGGGGGGTTCAATTAATTTTTGTTAAAACGTTAGGTGGGAAATGATCGTTTGCACGGGTGATTGTCTTGGACAAGTGGTCGTTTGGGTAGGTTCGGCTGTATACACACAGTTCAAAATGACCCGACCTTGTACATGTCACAAAGACTGTGAGACACATGATGAAACCGAAGCCATACCCTGCCCGCCCCCTTTTTTCTTTCTTTCTTTTTAAAAAAACTCAAAGTCATAGTAAGCTTCGTATAGTATAAATTAGTATGTATTAAGTGACCTCCTGGGTAACATCATCTGTGGACTTTGACTGACTCATCTGTCCCCCGAACACCTGTGGCGTCTGCTACTACAGGTCGCGACTATGATGAGATCATCCAACTATCCGACAAACTGGAAGCTAGACTACATAAACAGACGATAAACGTTGTGCACGACGAATTACAAATAAATGCACGTCGTACAATGCAATGGCATTCTCCAGTGACTCGGTTTACATGCATTGCGCTGTCACCGTCGTTTTATGCAAGAAAAATTCTGAAATTATGCAAACTGAGCCAAAAATTATTGTGAAATTATGCTATTCTGGGGGTATTTTTTTTAACAAAGAATGATAAAGGAAAACAATCAGAAATTATGCAAAAAAAAGATCAAATGTTGCTAAATTATGCGGGGTGCATAAAACCACGGGGACAGACTACTGCAGGTCGCGACTGTGATTAGATCATCCAACAGACTGAGTGGGTGGTTGGCGGATGCTTAAGTGTGGTTTGCTCCTTCTTTCCTATCAAGCATCTATCGTCCTTATCTCCCCTCCTTCTTTTTTGTACCTCGTTACTCTCTTGTAACACCTCCTCTAATCTTCGGCACTTATATGACCTTATTGTGTTGCAAGTGCCGTAAAACTAACACAAACTGAAAACTGGACTACATCTACGATAAACGCTGTGCACGACAACAAATTATAAATAAATTACATGTCGTACAGTGTAATGGCATTCTCCAGTGGCTCGTTTTACATGCATTGTGAGAAGTTTCCTGGAGGAAGAGAGGGGG